AAAACCTGCCCCAATCGGATCAAGTCTGCTTGAGAGGGGGAAGCCAAGGGTGAACCTTGAAAGGCTGGGAAAGTCGATCCCGGCGTGAAGTTAGAAGATACCGTGCTGAGAGATTCAATTGGAGTGTTGGTGGTTGATGCCAATATAGCTGTATGTGGCTCTGTTGATTTGTTGGATTTAAGAGGGGGTTTACTGGTTTTCTGTTTCTGTTTGCGTGGCATGGTGGCTTGATCAATCAAGAGGGGAATGTGGAGAGGTTGAAATGATTTTTTTTTTCACGTTCCCAGCAAACCCAGTGTAAAAATTGACTGGGTGTACCAGGTCTTTGGGCAACCCGGTTATGTTTGAACACGGCTATTGTGTGTCTATTACACCTGGTTTAACCGGATTTGATACATGAGTGTGGATTTTAGCCGAGTTCTTGATGGAGAAGAACTCCGTGATCTTTGACTGAGTTAGATTCTGGGTCTGTCTGAGGGTGAGATCATCAAGAAGCTTATTCAAAGCTTGTATGTGATCAGCCTCGGATTGGTTGATTTCAGGATGGAAGTACTGGACTGGACGCGAAAATAAGAAGTACTTGAGCTCATCAACAGCGGATTTTGCCTGTGAGATGGTTAACGTTTACGAGGTTCATCAGCATCTTCTTCTGCCTCCTCTTCCATCGGCAAGACCTCATGGCCAGCAGCAGTGGTACCAAGGATCTCAATGTCTGTAGGCATTGGAACTTCAGCTTTGGTAGATCAAGCCTCAATCTCAGGATTCAAAAGGGCCTCAATACTAATTCGGTTAGAGCGACTACTTTCTTCAAGTCTGGGGCAAGCGTCGAGGAGATTGAGTTGATCTTCGAGGGCTGAAACTACTCGGTCGAGGCCTGCATCAGGCGTAACCATTGGGACTTTGTTCTCATCGGAGTCTGAGTTTTTGCTTTGATAAGCGGCAATAACACCAGTGTGCTTGTTACAATTTGTGATAGTGTCTTGTGTGATCAAGTTCCAAGCTTCGCGGGCCATGAACATGGCCTCGAGTTGATTGATTGCAAAGACATCTTTTGCCGGCATGTCGGGGTTATCCTCGTATCTTTGAATGGCTTCAGCAACAAGTTTGCGCCGGTAGATAGCCTTGAAGGCCCGAATGATACCAGCATCGCAGGGCTGAAGATGACTGGTCATGTTTGGTGGGAAGAAGACACATTTGATGTGACTTAGAATTACGGTCTCAGCTGCTAGTGTATGTCCGCTAAAGTTGTCAAGAAGGAGAAGAATCTTGCGTCCCTCATTGGCCATCCGATCATTAAAGCGTTGTGGTGATCTATTTATGATATTAAGCAAAAAAATCAATCATCTTTACTTTACCAGTTTATTAGCAAACTTCAATATAGCAGAGAATTTGAAATTCAGGTTTTCAGATCAATTGAAGCTCTTAGAGGCTTATGTATACTTATTAGCTCATTATTATGTCATCTTATTTCAAAATTATTATTAAGATCAACATAGTTTACTTACAAAGTTATTACAAAAAGACAGAAAAAGAAAAGATAAGAAAAATTCGAAAATATAGGTGTAAAAGTTGGAAAATGGTTTTTAGCTTATTTATAATTAAGTTATGGGTTTTATAAGGTTAGAATATGAAAGAACAACAGTTTATTATACAGGAACAATTTTAATATTCAAGGTTGATAAGGGGAAACAGAAGTTATTAGCAGAAAGGTACTTTTTCGAAGTTGGTAAACAAGGGTTTACAGGTAGTTTTACATATGTAATGGTGGTAGTAGTAGAAATTAAGGTTGCCAAGAGGATTTTCCGGGACTTTTAAGGTTATAGAAGATGATGTCATGTTACATGAGCAAGAGAAAGAGAGTAGCAGCTGTGAAAAGTGAAGAAAATAGGTGAAAATCGTCGAAAATGGAGGTTTTCAGCTAATTACATATGTCAAATGACGTCAGAATAAGTTGGTAGATGGCTCATTCAACGCAGAAGAGTGGATTACATAATGTAAAACCTTTAAATCATTAGTAACGGAGGTGTATGTAAAAAGTTATAAGGGAAATTGGTCTGAATCTCGAATTTACAGTCACAAGTCACATGTAACACCAAAAACCTTAACTTCACAACTCAATATCTTACTCATCACTCATCAGAAGTAGGTATTATAGGTGTCAGAAATGATCAGTAACACGTGGGCTACAAGATGCACTTTAGTAATCAAAAATTGGAGCACATCTGAAAAAATTCGTAATCTCAAAAATTGGGTTTCAGCTAGTTTACAAGGAAAAAATCACCTGTAATCATCATAAGAAGTGCTGTACATTACATCATTGCGTCATTGATCACTTTTGGCTGTGAAAATTACATCATACATTAGTAACAAGATCATTACATTGCGTCATTACATGGTTTTTAGGGTTATTTAGGCGGATTTGATTGGTTTTTGAGGCTGTTGACTGTTGTAAAGATTGTTACATGTGGATATAAGTACTCCTTGATGATTTTAGGATTGTAGCGCCCTTTTCTGCATCTTATACCTTTGTTGTAGTGTTATAAATCATCATTTATTTACTATATTTGTACTAAGATCACTTAAATCCGCCCCTTCAAAGCAAGGAGAAATTTATTTACGTGTGTTAAAGACTACAAGTCTAATTGGGAATAATACTTACAACAGTATTGCTAGTAATAAACATAGTGTGTGACTTTTTGCGCTTAAAATCTGGGAATAATACTTAACAACAGTATTGCTTTATTTCTCTGGTGCTTTTTATCTTTTTCTCTGTTATCACAAAGTGGTCAGCAAGTGCCCTTGTGCTGGTTTCTTTGAAGAAGGCAGTCTTTAGGCAACTTCTACTATATTACACGTAGTAGATTATCCCTTCTTAGGTGTTGTAAAGCTCTTGTTGAGCTTTTAATACTACAGCGTAGCAACCAATCACCAAAGATTGATGCTGTCATCCAAGCCTTTGAGTTGAATTGGTAATCAAAAAACCAGTACGAAGCGTCTTGTCAACCAAAGCAACGAGGTCGCCGGACATAACCAATTACAAGTGGTTTGAGTTTATCTGATCCATCGGCATTGCAGCAAAATAGATATGACAGTCGTTTCTTTGAACCTTTTACTCCGGCAGTCGAGACCGTTGCTAGTGTTTGATTGGGTGGCATGCTGAGAGAAGACACACATATGTATAAACATAAGGAACGGATAGAGAGAGAAATGAAAGGGAAAGTACATACCACCACAGGAGGCCGGTCTCATCAGCGTTGTAAATATTTGAGGGTTCAAACCCCTTTGTGAGCTCGATCATTTTCTTCCTTGCAGTTTCAACATCAGTTTCATCAGCAGCCCCTGCTTCACCGTGCATCTGGAAGTTGAAGATGTTGTATCTTCTCTTGAACTTGCTGATCCAACCACTTGAGTACTTAGCTTTGATTCCAAGGATCTCGCCAAAGTGACCAGCTTTGGTTCGGAGGACTTCAGCAGTGATGACTAGCTTGTGGGCGTGAGCTTCGAGAATCCAGTGAAATAGGGCTTGTTCAAGTGCGGGGTGTTTGCTGGTCCGAATGCGTTTGACTGAACCATTTCCAAGTGTTGAGTTGACATGAATTTTTGTCTTTGATTTGAGCCATCGGCTGAGACAGCCTTGATCGAGGCCAAAGTGTGCAGCAGTCTCTGCTTGGGTGGTTTTGTTCTTCAGATGCCAGCGAATGACCTCGTCTTTCTTATCGAGTGAATGATGGCGTCGTGGTGGCTTAGTATCTTTTTTTGGCCTTTGGATTTGACTGAAACACTTGATCGAGTCTTTTTTCGCGGTGGAGATAGTCTAGAGCTAGATGATTTCACCTTATGTTTCTCTTTTGAATTGACCTCACCCTTGTCATTTTTAGACTTAGCTCAATGTTCTGCTTCGCGGTCTCGTTTTGCAACCACCTTCTTCCCTTCAGAAACCTTTTCGTATCCGGATAAGAGGCGAGGTGCAGCTGAGGTTTCAGTAGCACCTGATTCTAAAGAACAAAATGAAAACAATTACATGATACAATCAAAACACTACCATGTTTAAGAACAGAGAAAAAGTGAGCTTACTTATTAAGCCATCGGCAATCTTTTCAAGTTTAATGGCCAGAAGATCATCATAAATGGTATTCCAAGTTTTGTGCTTACGAGCTTTACTGATATAGTTCAAAACACATTCCAGGCCATATTTCCCACCCTTGAGGTGCTCCTTGAAATCTGCTTCAGGAACATCCTTAGCAAAAGCAACATCCATGTCATGGTTCACTGTACCCCACATCCCCATATCTAAATCAGAAACAACTGGAACACAGCTGAATCTGGTGAAGATTGAACCTTCACGCTTGGCTAAACCAAGAGGTGAGGTCTGGCTAAGAGAAAGAATGCGCACAATGAGTTGATCAAGTTTTGAAGCAGTCATAGTTGTGATGGAAAAGAATTTATGAATATTTTAGGTGTTGAGCGTCTGAAATTCTGCAAGATCAGAGGGATATCCCAAAATGAGAATTGGTCTTTTGAGCACGTGAGGGGTCAATCTGTCCTAGTGACAGAAACAAGATGGACACCTGCACATGTACACAATGGAGATGGCCAAAGTTGCTGTAGATTGTCAATCTGACCTTTCCAACTCAATTCAGTCTGATTTAAGCTGGTTTAGCTTCCTTGCTCACATCATATTGAAGCATAACTGCTTCCGTGATTTATGTCATGCTTGTTTTCCCATGCTAAACATGTGATTTTACAAGCATATCACCCAAAACCTGGAGCATATGTTTAATATGCTTATAAATCTGATTTTACTGCCCACCAAAAATGGTTGCATCATTTTTGATGCTTGAATAAAAATATGCTTGTGTAGTGAATGCTTATAAAGGAAACTCACTGTATACCTTTTGAAGAACTTGAGGGAAAATGATCGATTGATTTCCTGGCCCGATTTTCTTTACCCGATGAGATGCCCCGAGTAGTAATACGCGCATCAGAAGAGATGATGATTGATCGAATCAAGGGATGAGTTCTGATGATGATTCCATTAAGATAGTCTTAGAAATCGATTCATAAAGAAACCATCTCAGAGAACTCGATCCATCAAAACCCAATCATGGTATGTGTGTCTCTTTGACCCCGCTTGAAAAGAAGGGACCAAGGAATTGACTTGAGATTTACAAACAATTATAGCATCCTCAACTTCCAGAAGTCCTTACAACGGTCTTAATCAAATTCGATAAAGGTGAATTTTCGGATTTTACACATACCAAACTCTGTCTTTCTTTCTTTTTTTTCATCCATCAAGTTTAGATTTAAGTCAGATGAACCAGACTTCGAAAAAAGATGCAAAAAAAAACCATCAAAAAATGAATACTAACGTGTTTTTTCTTTAATTTATTCCTATTCTTTAATATGATTCCCAAAAACCCAGTAACGATTCTTTTACCAATAAACAAATCAACCACTTTACTTCAACTAAAACAAACTTGTTTAAATATCTTTCAATCTTCTACTACTACTACTACTACTACTTCTTTAAATCAACCAATAAATCAATTAAATCAATTAAATCAATTTGATTTCTTTCGTCGTAAGGATCAAAAGAATTCGTCTCATTGGATCTTATGTGATCTTTCGTCTAGTTTAAATGATTTAGATTTTAAAGAAGCTGAAGTATTAGGTGTAGGATTCGTTAATTCTAATGGTTTGTTCAATTCTTTTGTTTTGGTTTGGTTTGGTTTTTGACTTGAATTTGATTTTTTTTATTTCCTATACATGTAACATAGGTATTTGTTCTGAACCCAAGATTCAAGTATGGATCGAATCAGAAATCAATCAAGAAGAATGAACTCTCATTCGATTCTTCCTACTTCTTTCCAAATCAAACATGTTGTTTTTTTACTTCAAAAACTTTTAATTTGTAAAATTAAATCTTTTCATTCCATCTTTTATAATTACAAACTTTAGATTTCTTTAGAAACAAGAAAAAACTATATGATCATGATCTGATTGCATTACTACTACTACTACTACTATATGCTACTACTTAAACATCTTCAAATGAAAACTTCAAATTTGTTTTTCATTCCTAGTTTTCCTTCCAAAATAACTTCTCTATAATCTTCACACCAATCTCTCTTTGAAGAGAAAACATTAAATCCCAAAAGAAGAGAATGAAATTAATGGAAATCTTTGATTTAGAAAAACTTCAACAAGTTTGAGGTGGATTTATAATCTTTGATGAATTATTAATTGTCTTGTGAGATCCCCCAAAAAATCAATCAATCAATACTAATTCAAGGTGACTTTTGGAAATGATGTGGAGTTTGATCTACTTACCTGATCATGATTTTGCCTTTCAGTTCTTGATGAATTCAAAGCTTGATATTTCAAACGTGCTTGAACTGATTTTTCTTCTCCTAATTTACCAGGAATTGCTCCTTTGCTCACACTTGATGCGCGTCGTTTCCAATCTGATTTAGAATTTAAAGTTGAATTAATCTTTTGATTTGAAGTTAATCGTTTCTTTGAATCTTCTAGATTTTCTCTTCTTCGATTCGTAGGTGATTGTTTTGATATGTTTTGTAAATATCCACTGATTCTTGGACCGAGATTACTCGATTTCTTAGCTCGGTTCGTTGAGGGAAGTGTCGGATCTGATTCTAAACCCTTTAAACTTTTCAAAACTGTCTCTAAACTTTGTCCATGTGTAGGTAAAGGTTCATCTGGATTATGAAGTCGTCTTTTGACGTTAGGAGCCGGTGCTTTCGTAGGTGAAAGAGTTTGATCAGGCCTTGGAATGGCTGCGTTAGGTGCTGAGTACCAAGTTGACATATCACATTTCACTGTTTCATCTTGATGAACTGGTTCAACAAATTGTTCAGAGCTTAGAGAATCTAATGCCATACTATCATAATCTGCGTCTTCATCCGATGATTCACTCGAGGCGTCAGATGGGGAACTCAAGACTTTTTGACGCTTGGTGGGTGGAGCTCCAAGTAGGTTTGAATCAGGAACTGGTGAGCTTGGCATTCCAATCGAACTACGGAACCCTAGTGATGGAGGTGAAACGACTTGTACACTACCCTCACGACGAGTTTCAAGGGGATTATCACACGTCTCAGAAAAATCTTCGTCATCTGTTCGCTGCGTACGTTTCCGAGATTGAGATGCCACACAGTCCGATGTTGCAGACCATGGTAGTCCGATGGTCGGGTCGGCTGGTTCGCTAATATTATCATGTATGATAAGTGAATTGTTCCCTATCTGATCTTCACTTAATTCGTACACCTTCGAGAGCTCTGTAGAGTTATCACGAAAGAAAGCCTTCAAATCTTCTTCGTCTTGTTGACTAGAGTTCACCAGTGGTGAGATAAGCTCGGAGGGGTCATTCGAGTTTTCCTGCAAACAGAAATGTTGATTTTCCTTGGTAGATCCTTGCTTGGTGACATTAGGTTGGATCGCAGGTAGATTCATCTTAGCATTTCCAAATATCATGGGTTTCGGTTCCTTTAGTGTGTTCAAATGAGCCGTTGCTAAAGGTGGCTTTGATTTCAGTCGATTTTCCAAGTTTCGAACTTCGTTTTTCTTCGGTAGATTATAAGAATTACGATGTTCTAATACAGACCTCAAGCTGCTGTTCGAAACAGAACGCTTGTAAGATGAGGACAGTTTCCGGCTGAGAGTTGGCTTCCTCTGAGGAGCTTTGGTAGTTGGTCCTGGTTGTTTGGGAATTTCCCAGGGGGTGGGTCCAAGGCTAGGGTATCTTGTTCGTGTGGTAGGAAGTGATGAATTAGGTAGCGATGAGTTTTTCTCGGCTCTTGTGTAAGACTCCAAATGCGAATTCGTTGGAGCTGATCCTGAGGGATTAGGTTTAGTATGAAATTGCGATAACTTGCGAGATGGGAGTCTTGAAGGAGGAGCAGCAGCGCGTGCGGATAAGAGTGATTTGTTGAATTGTCGAGCCTAGAATAATGATCAGACAGGGATAGTTCATTTTACAATGTCCAGACTTTATAAAGGATAGGTATACTTACTCACTTTCCATTTTCCAAATTCTTTGACCAAATAATTAGGACCACAAGTGATGAGATATATGACGATGACGAGAAAATCATGCATCGTGCCTAAGATAGCGTCAAAGGATTGTTCGTAAGGTGAGGCGAATCGCTTGATACAATGATCGAATAAGAACTCGGCACTCTGCGGGAGTGTTGAATAAGATCAAGTTTTGTTTTCTACGAAAAGAAAGAGCCTAAGAAACTATCTTACAGTGGGACCCATGACTATCATCCAAATCAAGCTTAGCAAATGAATTTCATCGTAAAATGGGATAGCCCAAGCAACCCAATCAATCAAGAGCTTGAGACGAGTCCAAATGACCTACAACCAAGAACAATCAATCATCCAAAAAACCTCATCAGTATCCAATATAACCATAGAGAATAATAACTTTGATTCAAAAATCCTTACCCATACCAAACAGACTTGAGTCATTGCTTTAATTTGTGTTCGTCTTTCTTTTTGCACTTTTGTCAAAGCCTTCAAAGTAGGAGGAGTTCGAGGTATCGTAAGTGGATCGTTTCTTTGAAAGGCCATTCGAGGGATCTTCTTTCTTGTCTTGGGTACTTTCAATGCTTTAAAAGCACCCCAGAAAGTTAGCCAATGGAATAATACTTTGGCAATCCCAATGGGAATGATCAAACCCATCTTTGGTATTGGTTGATTCGTGTATCGATCGAGGTAATTGAAGTTGAGAATCGGTTGAGAGTAAGATAAATCGAGTTCTTTTGTTGAATTCCATTCAAGTTCTTTTTCATCTCAGAGACTCAGACCCTTTGACTTCCAATTGTGAGACATCACCTCGTCCTAAGTCGCGCTCAAGACCGGCCGCTCTCCCGCTCCCGTGAGGTTTGGTGGCGGGCTTAAACCCGTCCTCCGGGGGTTCATTCCTCTTCACTTCTTCAATTTGAGATCTTGTTTTATGACGTGCTGAGTTGAAGTTTTCAGGGAGGACCCCGGCATGCACTACTTCTGGAGATATCTTCTATGTGAGATTTTGTTTTATTTCGTGCTGAGCTGTCCTGAGTTTACTATCGTTCTTAAAAGCTTGCCGAAAATCCCGCGCCAAACTGCTCGAATTTTGCAGCAAAAGTCTTCAGGGATGACCCGGGCATGCACTACTTCTGGAGATATCTTCTATGTGAGATCTTGCTTTATTTCGTGCTGAGCTGTGCTGAGTTTCCTGTCGTTCTTGCAAAGCTTGCCGAAAATCAAGCGTCAAACTGCTCGAATTTAGCGGGAAAACTTGGACAAGCTACTTGAGGTCGACAGCAAGCTTTCAGATTTTTCAGGGTCCTCGCCTGTCCTCACACGGAGTGGAAGTAAACTTGAAAAGCGGAAGGCCAGGAAGAAGACTTCAAATGCTGCATCGTTTTCGACTTCACGGGGGAACGAAAGACATATAAAGAGTGCTTGTGTTTCCACCAAGATGTCCCCCTAAACACATTCCTTGACCATTCTACAGCGCTTTCAATTTCAAACCAACACAAAAATGTGAGCATGTTTAGTCTTACCACTCGTCCTTTCTATCTTTCTACCGAAAAGCAAATTCTATGAAGCTTTTTAATCCCTTTTGCCCAATACTCAATTTGATCTCTTCTCGCTTTGCATTCTTGGTTAGTTTGCGTCATGAAGCTGTTCACTACAATTGTGCTGGCTGCCATGTTGGCGTACGCTGTTCAAGCTGCTTCCATTGCTCCCCGGAGGGAAGTTATACCTTGTCGAGGTGTCTACAAGCGTGGCTGCCCCCCCTAACTGCTGGTGGGCCCTACCATCACAGTGTCAAGCATCGCATTCGCAATCAGATCGTGAGTTGTTTCTCATTGCCGAAATTTGATTACCAGTCGTTACCGAGCTCTAATGCAAACTCAACGTGTTCGATTTCCCACTCCTAGCATACTCTCCTTTATACATCTCTGACTCTGGCCCTACTACCCTTTACAATTGCCATTCACTTCTGTTCCCCGGTTTTCTTGATGTCTCACTATCTAGAATCTATTGATCTTCTCGTATGGGTATTGTTCAATTCAATCTCGAGGATTGTGTTCCGATCAAATCGAATCTTTTATTCATCTTCAGTCTGTTATTTTTTTTCTCATTCTCTTGCAATCCTCTCCTCTTGAGATATCTTGTATGTGAGATCTTGTTTTATGAAGTCAGGTTTTGTCGCCCCCAAAGATCGTGTTGGTCATAGTTGAACAGATTTCCCTTACATACTTTCTCAAATCCAATCATCTTGAATATGCCACAGATGAGACAAGGTGCAAGTTTTATTTTTGCTACAAAGGCCCATCAAGCCCAAAAGAATTTGGTCACTAAACCTTGGCAGATTGTTTCCCATTGATAATGTGAGGTATGTGACATAAACGAGTGATTTTAGCAACAAACTTTGAGAGGGATTTGTGCCAAGACTAAAAACATTCCTTTGAAAAAATTACAGTCAATGATGTGCAATGAAAGAGCAAACAAGTTTTGTCTTTGGTCCAGACAAGAATCTTTTGTAGGGGAAGGTGTAGAGAGATTGCAAGGAAGCTCCCTGCAAAACGGCTTACCCTCAGCCAATGGAACATGCAAGTTCGAGGTAAGTCCCTTGCTTGCTTCAGCCTCGCGAGGCAAGTGTGGGACCTTGTTGAGTTTACCCATTGGTCATAGTTGAATCAAGACAGCGCTTAGGATCAAGACTGTGTCTGTGTTAAACTACATTGCAGGTTAATGTAGCAGTGTTCTCCATTCTTTCATCTTGTCTGTTAGTGGTTGTGGTGTTCTGTGCTGCACTTTTTTTTTCATTGCTTATAGTGTCTTTAGAGCCGTTAGGCTATCAGACACTGCATGTTTTCCAGCACCAGTAAAACTCCCTCTGGCTGTGTCAGGGGGAAAGGTTGCTATTGGCTGTTTTGACTAGTATACATGTTTATTTTGGAGATGTGAATGCGGCGCTAAAGGATATGGTTAGGGAAAATTTGATCCCGTGGGGGATGCCTTCCTTTTGGTAGGTCTTTGTTGGCTATTGTAGCCCAGTTCCAGCGTTGTTTAAAACACCATGTGTTGTTGCAGTAAGTTGCTATAGCTTTGAAAGCTATGGTTTTGTTGAGAATTGACATGTTGAGTTTGAGATCAAGTTCCTTGATGTTTTTTCTAGTTGTTTTCTTTCATTGTTGAATTTGTTGCATGTGAAAAGGAAGTGTTCCACTGTTTCAAGTCCTTCTTGGCACTCGCATGTAGGGTTGTGCATCTGTACAAATTTGGAAAGGTAATGGTTTAAGTCAACACCCGACTCGCAGCGCAGACTGCGAGGCACAGCCTGCGCCTGCGCTGTGGCTCAGCGCAGGGGTTTTTGGAAATCTGGTGACTGCGCCTTTTTTGCAGCGCAGTGGATGTGTCACTGGCACATATGTTCTCCAATGGAAAACTGAAAAATGGGCTTTCCATCCGCCAAAAAACAAATTTTTTACCCACTGCACTGCGCTGGACTTACCTACGCTGGAGCGCACCGCAGGGGCCTCAAAGATTTTGGCTCACTGCGCCCCAGCGCTGCACAGTGGGTTTTGGAATTTTTGATTTTTTTGGCACAGCGCAGTTTCGCGCATTCTGCGCTGTACTGCGCTGACGCCGGGTGTTGTTTAAGTGAATGTGGCCTGATCTGAGCTGCATGATAATACCAATTGAGTGTTTCTTGAGTTCCGAGGTGTCTTGTAGGTGAGATTTCTGTTGTGGTTTGTGTCCGAGTCGTTTTAAGTCGTTTGGATCTGTGATTTCTGAGTTCTTTGAGTGCCATTCTTTAATGGCCGCTAAGAGACTTGATGTGTTAGGTGTTACCTGAAATGTGCTTGGTAACTTTGTTTTGGCTTTCTTGTTGGTGATTTTGTCCACTCTTTTGTTTCTGTATATGCCTGCAAGTCCTGGGCACCAACAAATGTTGATTCACATACTAGGAAAGGTTCTGTGTAAATAGTTCAAGCGTTTGTAAGTCTCTTTCCTGTCATCCAGAGAGGTAATGGGAAGTTTATTGGATCGGAGATTATTGAGTAAGATAGTTGTTCTTCTTGTGTGAATCAAAGCAGTCTGTAGGGCCATTGCTAGCCCCATCTGCACTCCTCTGTATTCGGCCTGATAAATTCCATGTGTTCTTGCGGGTCCTAAATGTTTGGATTGTGATTTGTTGGTGTTTTTACACCATGCTACTGCTACAGTGGTGCATTTCGGGATCATAGAGCCATCAGTGAAAATTACCACATGCTCTAGAGTGGCCGTGAGTTTGTTAGCTTCAGTTTTTGCTAGTAGCTTGTTATCTTGGATGATTGTGGCATGGTTTGGTGGTTGAGTTAGTATATCTGCTGGGTCAAGCGGGATTTGTAGGATGTACTCTTCCAATTCCTTGCTGACTGGGTGTTGGAAGAAGCAGTGAAAGGGGTTATGATGGCATTTCAGATTTGAGTTTTTTGCCTGCTTAACAAAGCCGTGAATAGGAGAGTGTTTTGGTTTTGTTAGTGATGTTGCCATAAAATTCATGACTTTACTTTGAAGTCTGATTTTTGGCGGGATGAGGTTTGCATTGTGTGTAAGGAAGACAGTTGGTGTTGTTGGTAGTGCACCTAATGCTGATTGTGCACAAATGTGATTGATAGTCGCTAAACTCTTGAGAAATATGCTGGTGGCTTGAAGGGTAGCCACACAGCTACCCCATAGTCCAGCGCCGTGTGGATTGTTGTGGTGATGAGGGTATTCATCAGCTTTGGGGGTATACCCCAGTCTGACTTTGAGAATTTTGTCAGGAAGCCTGCACGTTGGCGTCCCTTGGCACAACACCACCAGCGCTCCGCTATATTCCTGAAAATCTTGAGCGGAGCGATTGGGCGCTATGAAGAAACACTAATCGCTACGCTATTTTCTCCAAGGCGCTATGACAATTGAGAGCGGTGCAGCTATTCAGATCGCTCCTCTCCGCTATGATACTATTTCACACTCAAAAGCGCCTGAAAGCGCGGTCAGGAATGGTTTTTTGCTTGAGCCTTTTTTTTATTACAAATGATACATAATGGACAAAAGAATGGGGATGTAAGAAGCTAACCAAGTTGAAAGCAAAAAGCACACACCAACATTGATAAAGAAAGACAAATAAATGAGACTGAGAAATAAACAAAACTTTCTTTTTGGTTTTATCAACATATTTTGTTGAAGAAATGACTGAATGAATACTTTGAGGTGTCAGAAGCAAATCGTTTCCTTGAAATTTAGAACAAGATCTACAACTCCAAAGGATCACATTACCAACTTTGTATCTTGATGATGTACCGTATTGCATACAGAAGCCTTTTTCCCAAGTGTCTTGAGAATGTCTGAATTGAATTTGACTTTCAAGATCAGCTCTATAATCAGATTATCCAAAATCTGATGACAAGTTGTGTCTTGTTGATTTTTGACAAGTAAGAAATGGTCTTTGATTGGGATGTGGACCAACAGAAACTTGGAACAATACCAAGACAATAGATAAGCAATCTGATATGTCTTCACAGTCTCCATCTTCAGAATCTTCAGTAACATGTCTAGTTGGTTGATCAAAACTAAGTCGGTGCATAGAAAGCCGCGAGCCTTGTGGCTGGATCACAAAGCCTGGTTGGGGGCGTACCGGGCTTTGGGAGCGAAGTGAA